ACAGTACGGCCACCTCCATGAGATATTGTCAGTCTCCAGGTTACTAAGGACTTCACCTCGTTCCACCTCGTGGTCTCTGACTGGAGTGCTGCAGGGGAACATGTCACCATCCCTTACACCTCAGCCCTCAAGCTTTGTAGCAGCACAAACAGGAGCTGGCGCTGCTCTATACTGCTCATAAGGTCTGCTTATCAAGATGGGCTGAATCAGCACCCTCCACACACTACAGCAGAGGACACTAACTTGAGAACTCCTCTGCTTCACAAGGAACGGGCAGCTTGCAAGGGTTGYGACCACCATTGCTCTAGCAGGGTAGGCAGGTGTAGGGTTGGGAATCTGAGGAAGCGGACCACAAATACTCAGTTTCACCCGACATCTGTACTGAGGAAAACAACTACTTACTTGCACACAAGCAGGAGTAGTACAACAGCAGAATACACCTCGAGGAAACAGAAAACTGTACCCAAGTCATTTCAGAATACTTGAAACAAGCATTAAATCGATTCCTTCCCACAAATTTTAACCAGCCACTGCTTTCTGTGCTGCTTCTGTGGAAGCCAGGGTAGAGGTTCAGTAAAGGTTGCTGGGCACAGAKCTCCGAGCAGCCAGAGTCCCACTCACTCCTAGAGGGCAGTTTTGGGCCGCAGCTTCTAAGCTTCTTTGAGCTAGCACTAGCTTTGCAGCAGAGTCAACCTGACTTTTGCAAAGCCTGTTTAAAAGCCCTGGGGTTTTAAGCCGAGGACTGCAGCTATTATGATTATGGCAGGGTGGCTTGAGGTGTTTCCTCAAAGCTTTGAGTTTTCAGTGCGAGGTTCCCTTGCGCAGCTGCCTGAGACAGCCTGCCCCGTGCTCAGACCTTGCTGATGCTTTGCTGCAGCAGCAAGCAGAAGCTACAACAGTCAGTGCTAGTCTTTAAATTGGMGTTTACTTGCTCTCAACTGGTTCACATGTCTGGGATTTCATAGGGATTATGTAGAAAGCCAAAAGAACTTGTCTACCAGGAACACTTCCAATACATTATCCATGTACAGTTTCCATGCGGACAAAGCCTAACAATACAGCAGCGGTCCCCATACTTGCATAGCCATGAAAGTCTCCTGGGCTGCTTGGCGAGTTTGCTGGGGGCAGAGTCCTCACAGTGAAAGAARGTTAGAAGGGAAGGAATGGGTAATGACAAAGGGATGGGAAAGGGGTATCTGAAAGCTGATGTTACAGGGAGGAAGTGGCCATGCCTCATGTGAGGAGCAAGGAGAGAAGCTCTGCTGGGAAGAAGGGACCTGTACCCATGACATTACTAGAAGTGCAGGTGCTGGTTGCCTCCTGAAGGCAGGCAGTAACAGGCCATGCAAGAGCAGGAATTCTTATGTTCTCCTCCCTGTTCCAGGTGCTGCGGGACAGGGTGGTGCCAGAGGTTCCTGCCTTGGCAAAAGGGAGTTTCACATCAGGTTAGGCAAGTATCGAGCAAGTTCTTAGGATCATGATTCTTCGTTGGCTCTGGAGAAACTTTCCCATGCAAAAAACCTCCTCTGATTTGCTAGTCCCAGTACCTTCCATATCCTCCCATTTCTCTTACTGCATCATATGGCTGAACGCCAGGAACATTGCAGCCAGGATGATCACAAGTCCCTCATATTAAAGGTATCCACTTGTGATTTACACCTTTGGCCTATATTGAGGGCCACTTGCTGTCTTCCTGCAGTGTAAAGAAATATGTGTAGTATAGAAACAAAGAAGTAAAGAAATATATGTAGCATAGTATATTGTAGAAAGCAATATGTGTAACTATATGTGTATGTGTAGCTTTAGAAAGGAACATAGAAAGGACCTGCTAATACATTGATTCTAGTAGGGAAAAAAAATAAGGCATGACAAAGAATATTTCAAACTAGGGGATACCAGGTTACTGCAGTCTCTGTGCCCTAGAAGTCAGGCAGGTGACAGCAGTTGAACCAGAGATCACGAAGCAGTACAGGAAAGCAGTGGACGGGCACAGAGGAGCATATGCAGACTGCCTCCAAGTTACTGACTTCAAAGAAATGAAATTGAAGGAAAGGACCTGAAGGGGTAACATCCTGCAGACACAGGCAGGCTAGCCTGGTCATTAATCTGACCCTTTTCCTCACTGCCACAGGCTCCCAAAAGTTCAGGGAGATTTCGCCCAACTCTCAGCCTCCTCCACCCTTCTGTGCTCAAGGGTGTCTAGAGCCTGGGTGGTGACATGAAGCKGCCTCCCATGGTCACGTAGCTCTCACCAAGCCAGGGGAACATGGGCATCCTTAGCCTCTCCCTGGGCCTGCTCCAGAACAGTGGATGCTCTGCAGGTTGCTGCTTGCATCACCCAACCAGAGGTTGCCACAGTAACCACACTTAATGTGTGGAGGAATATGGGGTTCCCTGGCTAACAGGGAGGCTGCTCCTGGTCARGGTGTTGTCTTTGTTGCACAGCAGGAAAGAACAGTGCAGTTTTCCAAAGGTGCGAAAATAAATTCCTTTCTCTGCATTACACCAAGCCAGGCTTCCCACCTACTCCTGCTCTCCTGCTTCCACGGTTTTGCTCTTCTCAGCCCTGTTCWCTCTGGCAGTTGCGCTGCTTTGATTAAACAACAAACACAAGAAAGAAGAAGTGCCTAAGACCAACGGACCAGGCTAGCCAGGCATCARCTGTCACTTGCTTCAGCCTCAACAGCAGACATGCTCTGCAGGCCCCCAGGCCCAACCCAGGGTAGGAAYCAGCATCAGGCCATGGGCTGATCTCCATAAACACTGCACAGCCTTTAGCACTGGCTGGATGCCCGAAGGGCTTGCATGGAGAGCTGACCATCCCATGGGCACCCTAGGAAGCGGGAGGTTTCTAGTAAGATCTCTTCTCACCATCATTGTGCACAGTGGAGAAGGTAGCAGGAGGAAGCCACACATCCCAAAGTTCAGCGAGCCTGATGATGATGATGATGATGTTAACAGTATTGCTGCTCCCACCCCCGTTCAGTTTGGGGATGGAGCAGCCACCCACCGGCTCGAGGCAGCACTTAACCCTCCCACTGCATTCCTGGAGAGGGGAGGCACTTTCTGGGCACTGATAGTGGCCTCAGTTGCCAAAGAGAAAGCCGGAGTCAAGGGAGCAGCCAAGCACAGGCTGTGGGGCTGTTACAATCCACTCAACTGCTAGAAGCTCTGTGTATCCTTGTGTGCCACATTATCCGTGTTACCTCCAGCCTGCTGGTTATGACAGCTTGAAAGGAGAGAAGGAATGATGCAGAGGAGCACAAGGAGTTTTCACCCGCAGATAAAAAAAGGGGGAATTCCTGGGTAGGCTCTTACTGAGCACGGTCCCCTCTGTGCACACACATCTAATGGACTTGTAATTTACAGACAGGCTGAGAGTTCACAGCCGTGACTCAAACTCACACCAGAGGTGCTCGGAGATCCAGCCTGGTATGAGAGCCGAGTTCTACAAAATAAATTGGCGTCTGCTTACGTSTAGTTAGAATTAGCAGAGACTTTGCTCTGCTCGGTGATACAAGTGTTGATCAGATGCTCATTAAGTGAGTACGGTTCCTCGGAGAGTCTAATTAGAGATGGAAGAGAAAGATACACAAAGGGAACCCACTAAGATGAGAGGCAGTCTTTGGAGTATTTGAAGCCTAATTTTTTATTATTATTATTATTTATTTGGAGTCCTAACTTATCTTGAAAAATGCCATTATGTTGCATCTAGTTCTATCACAGACCTAATACAGTAATAASTTATACCTATAACTTTATATACATATATTTGAAAACTTATAGTTTTTATATATAAAAAATATAAAACAACTTATCTACTGAAGGTTGGTTATCAGGGAACAACCATTAAAGAGGTCAGACTAGAGGACAGACTTTGATCCCTTCTGGGGCAGGAGACAAAGTACATTTGTAGGATTTCCACCACTTTTCTTAACCAAATAAAACCAAATTTTCTCCTTGTCTCAGATTGCAGTCAAACTAAGGCGAACAAGACAGTGACTGCCAGTCCAGCAAAGGTCACCTCCAAGGATGTGGCRAGACCCAATTCCCCTTCACTCATGGCTCAGTATTGCTGAGAAGGGCCACAGCAGCCTCTCTGGAGCAGCTCTCTGCCCTCTCCCAGCCAGATGAGGGCAATGGAGACACCCCATCCCTGCACGGTCCCACATACAGAAGAGCTGGGCACCACCGCGTGTGGCTGTAGCGATGGAAGAGGCTGCGTGAGCAGCAGGGATCTCACGTGCTTAGTGACAGAAACCACGGTGTCCTGGTGAGGAGTCAGCCTTGCTAGAAAGCAAAAAGAACTGGGCCAAGTTTGCATCGCTCACTTCTCCAATTCCCCCGTGCAGACACCACTCAGCTGTTTGCCCTAGGCCATAGCCACGCAGGCCACTTCCAGCCTAGTTTGAAGCTGTGTATTTTGAGACCAGCCCTCAGTAAGACACAGCAGGAAACAACGGCCTAAGAAGGTAAAACATGGTCCACAAGATGCTGTCCATCCCTCTTCTGCCTACCGAGCGCAGCCTTCAGAGTAAAAGTCCTTCCACGTCCTGCTCAGTCAGATGGAGTCTGTAGGGGATCARAGATGCCCAGGTCACTCTCACCTTGATGGTTCCAGCACAACATAGACCACAGGCAGAAAAAAATAAATAAAGAGGCCACTTCCAGCCTATGCTCACATTTTATTATGTACAGAGACATGGCGAGTGAGTGTAAGAACATCAATATGRGACATGGACAGCAAAGTGAGGCCCAAAGGCACTGCCCCCTGTCCCCTTGGCACAACCAGTCAGCATAATTTATACAAATAATACAATATTTGAATATTTGAATAATATAAGTTATATATATTTAAATAATATAAGTTAAGTTCAATAAATAAGATAAATTAAAATCCAAAAAAAAAAGTAGAAAGACAAAGCAATACGGAATGATTGTGAGGGCTGTGACACACTGACAGCAGTGATAATACCAACAACACCCCACCTGCACACCAGTGGCTGGAGCACAGACCCCCAGCAGCCCTTTTCTCACCATGCTATGGCAAAATCCACTGAGCAGGGGGAAAGGGAGAGCCATGTGGTCCATCACTGCTCTCTGTTCTTGATCTAGGGGCCCTCTCCCCTTCACAAGCCCCTTGGGAGGGCAACAGGGTTAAAAAAAAAGAAAATTACAATCACAGAACCACTGTGCACAGTCACAGCCTGCCTGAATTGTTTGGCACAGAAACGGACAGTCTGTCTCCTCGTTCTACAGTCCTTCAGACACCAGCATAATTATTAAAGAAACCACAGCAGGGGGTTGGAGGGAAACATCTCTGAGGAACAGGGGATAGAAGAGGTGGGGCTCCCTTTCACTCGTGCTTGTGGGAGGCTCATTCATGGCTTCAGAGCCCTGACACGCTCCTTCTGGCACTGCCCGAGACAGAGAGGGTGACAAGACAGCTGATACCCTGGCAAGGAGGAGGTTACTACAAGGAGTGCAGGGGCTGCAGCTCGGAAGAGTTACATGACAGAAGGGACAGCAGTAAAAGGCCACCACTGATTCTCTAGGAGAAAAATAAACAAGACAGACGGTCCCTAGCAGGGACAGATGCCACAGCCACACTCTGATTTGGCTCCCATCATGCTCAAGGCCGCTCCAGCTCTCTTTCAGAGATGCTGGCAGCTGGCAAGGAGGCAGAGAAGGATTCTGTCATGGAAAGGAGACAATCTGAACACTGTTCTCCTGCTTCCCCCACTGTCTTTGCCCCTAAAGAAGGGTACTGGAATGTGAGAAAAAAAAAAAAATTGAGGAAATAGGGCTGAAAGAGAGAGTGGGGAACAGATGGAGATCTGGGATAAGGAATCCAATCAGTTTCCCCTCACATATACCAAACACTACTCATCCAGGCCTGGTATCAAGTCTGCAATGCTGTCCACATAGTAATTGGGCACGAGATCCTTGGCAGCAGCGCTGTCACTGGCCATATAGGCCTGTGCCTCTTCCAAGCGGGAGACTCCCGTCAGGGTAAGGATGGTGGAGAGGCCGCAGTTCTTGCCGAAGAGGATATCTGTCTCCAGGCGGTCTCCAACCATGAGGGTGCGGGAGGGGTCTACACCGAAGCGCTCCACGATGCAATCAAACATGTAGGTGTTCGGCTTCCCCACCACCAGCGCCTTGCGGCCAGAGGCAGTTTCCACTGCTGCTGTGAGACTGCCCGTCCCTGGGAGGAGCAGAAAAAGAAATGGCTGCGAGGGAACCACACGCTGGCTACAGGCAGCCCAGCATCTTGCGCTACGTGAGATGACTACATAGGCTGTGGAGCCGCAAGCAGCAGAGCATCGCTCTGAGCATCTGAGCCTCTGARTGACACGCGAGAGAGATGGTGCTTAGTCCTGGTGCTTAGTAAACTGTTTCACCCAAGCTTTGCATGGCAGATCCCACAAGGGACAACCCTTCCACTAGACACCTGAGCCAGCTCCTAGTGTGGTACCACCGAGGAGGCAGCGACAGGCCCGGGAAAAGGCACAAAGCCTAAGGGAGGCCAGTGGTCAAACCTGGCGAGGCCGCAGCCCCGCGCACCCACCACCCCTGGGACGGGCTGTGGGAGACCCCCGGGGGCACCAGGGCCGCCTGGCACGAGGCCCCCGGGGGGCAGGGGCGGCGAGGGGGCTCACCGGGGGTGCGCTGGCCGTCGCTGAGCGGGTGCCAGGGGTCGGGGTCGGTGGCCACCAGGAGGCACTGCGGGTCGCGCAGGTAGCCGCAGGCCTGCGCCAGCTTGGCGAAGGTGAACTGGTCGTCGTAGCCCACGAGGACGGCGCGCACGGGCCCGGCGTCGCCGCAGCCCTGCTCGCCCTCGCCCGCCAGGCGCAGCCCGGCGTCGCGCACCTCGCCGCGCAGCCCCTCGCCGCCCAGCACGAAGACGCGGCCGGGCTCGGCGCCGCCGCCCAGGCGCTGCCGCAGGAAGAGCGCGGAGCAGAGCGCCGAGCTGAAGACCTGCTCGGCGCGGACGCCGCGGAAGCCGAGGCGGCTGAAGCGCCGCTCCAGCTCGGCCACGGAGCGGCGGCTGTTGTTGCTCACGAAGAGCGTGGCCTTGCCGCTGCGCCGCAGCCGCTCCAGCAGCTCGGGGGCGCCGGGCACGGCCCGCTCGCCCGCCCACAGCACGCCGTCGCAGTCGAAGAGCAGCCCCTGCGCGGGGCCCAGCACCTCACGCAGGCCCGCGCCGCTCAGCCGCCGGCAGCCCGCCATGCCGCCGCCGCCAACCGTCCCAACGGCCGCCGCGCGCCGCCAATCCGCGCGCCGCCGTCCGCACCGGGACCCGCCCGCAGCACCGCCCGCCGCACGGGACAACCAATGAGGGACGCGGCGCGGGCGGAGTGACGGCGGCAGCGCCCAGTCAGCTCGAGGGGAAGGGGCGGGGAGGGCGTTGGCGACGCGACAGCAGCGGTGAGACGCTCGCGGCTGGGGGGCGGGGTCCGAGAGTGGCAGCCGCGTTGTCCTATTAGCTGCTGGGAAAGACTCGAGGAGGCGGGGCAAAGCCTGACTGCGCTTGCGCATTGGCTAACGTGCCACCCCAGCCACCTCYTCCTGCGGGTGTCGCCATGGCAACGTGCGGGAGCAGAGCGCCCCGTGGCGGCCTGTGGCGAGCAGGGCCCYATGGCGCCCGCGGGCGCCGGGAAGCGGCTCCCGCCATCCCGGTTCCGCTGGTCCGTGTCCTGCCCGCGCCGCACGCCACGGCAGCCGTGCTTATCTCTATAGGTGTCCCTACAGGGAGCACTCCCGACCCCCTCCCCGTTGCTGGCCTCTCCCACTACAGGCTGCAAAGTATGACGTGCACAGTGACACTGAGGTGTAATATTGGCACCAACTCTTCAAATAACTTAGGTGCAATGACTGTGTGTATGTTTGCAGGGTAAAACCTTTGCTGTAAGACCAACCATACTGATTCCTGCGTGTAGCACAAGACATTTTAAGGCAAAATTAGATGTCAGGGTTTAAAATTATTGCTTTGCATCTGTAAACAACTATACGAGCCTGTGGAGCCAGGCTTTCCGGGCTGAAATGCTGCCAGAAGCAGCTKCTCTTTGCCTGGTGATGCATTTCCCACTTCATGCCTAAATATCACAAATGCAGCTTAGAGCCTTCTCCCACACACATGCTCCAGCGTTTGGGGAGCAAGAGGGCAATAAAACGGGGAGGTTTTGGAAAAAAAGGTGGATAAGACACAGCCTTGAGCAACGCTCTTCGTAGGGCTGAGAGACGCTTCAAAATGGCCTGGAAGGGCAAGCCCAGGAGAAGCCCACAGGGCCCCTGCCACCACGTACCCTAACACTGATCTAAAGAGCAGATGGTAGTGATCCCTGACCCCCACAGTGCTGGGTGGCTCAACAGCAGCAGTCGGGATCAGGGATGTGGGTTTGGGCAAGGATGCAGGTTTCYTGCCGGCATTTGCAGTCCCTGAAAGGCAGCAAGGCTCTCCGGGAGCTGAGGTGCAGGGGTGTGTCATGATGGAAAGTTCCTGCCAGTCAAGGGGGAAGAGGGAAAGTCCCCCTGTGCTCGTGGTAACGGGAACGTGGTGGTGCTAAGCAGTGAGGAAGGGAGGAAAGATCTTCTGAGAGGCAGACAGAGAGGCAGAAGCACACAAAGGGTCCGCTCAGGATGGACCAAGGCAGCCRAGGAAGGAGCTGAGGACATGTCGGCTCTAGCACCTCCCAGACRCCYTCACAGAAGAGCTCCCCTTGCACTYGTGCCGGAYRCTCGGCCACGGCAGGGGAAGGGGATCCTGGAGGAGCGCTGGATCCCCTCTTCCTCRGACCTGTGGCAGGAGGACAGGAGAGCTGGTGCTCCCGCGGCCCCGCTCAGTCGATCTCCGAGGCCTGCCCCGTTGGCTGAGATGCCGCGGGAGGATTCCTTCCTCCCGGAGATGGCGGCTGCCCCTCGGYGGCAGCTCCCGGGGCGCAGTCCATGGCGGGCTCCGGCTCCGGCGCGGCGCCGGCCTCGCTGCCGGGCGAGCCGGGGGCCCGGGCGCCGCTGCGGCTCTGGCGGCGGCTCGGCTGCGGGGGCAGCGGCGGGGGCACGGAGGGCGCGCGGCTGGCGGCGCCCGCCAGGCGCCGGGGCAGGGCTCTGGGGGCGGCTGCGTCTTCGGCGGCGGCAGCGGAGCCACGCGGCTGGGCCACGGGAGGTGGCGGCACCGTGGGCCGTGCCGGGGCYGGCCGCTTGCCTGGAAAGGAAGCCAAGGGGGGCTGAGCTTGCCCTCCCGTGTCCCTTGGGAGAGGGCTCGGACCAGGCTTGACACAATGATGGGCACGCTACCCCTCGCCCAGCTCCTAAATCCCATCCTGGAGCACCGAGCGGGGCGCACASAGCACACATCAGCTTCGGGGGCTTTTCCTTCCTTCTGCCCTCTACAAGATACCCTGAACTTTGAAGGCTCTAGAAGAAGGGAGTTCCTTCCACTAGAGAGCTGGCCAAGTCCATCCCATGGTCCTACCTTGGCTAGCAGTGGAAAGGTTGGAAATGAAGGCTGGAATCCTGCCTACACAGCCTGGCCGCAGGCCCTTTCCCTCCCATTCAGCAAGAGGGGCTGCCCTCTGCACCCTTTCCTCTGGAGCGTGATGGGATGAAGGCAACCAGAGGACGTAGCATTAGGGTTGGTAGACCCTGGGGACATCTGATCATTGGCAACATCTTAGTGCGTGGTCTGGGGCCTCCTGCTCCAAAGCCTAACCTTTGCGGGTGGTGTCACTGGCGGGCGTTGGGGCTACCAGCCCGGAACCTTCAGAAGATGTGGTCACCTTCGAAGAAGCTGTCTGAGAACTTGCCTTRGGATCCTTTGTGCTGTGGGAAAAGGGGGCAAGTCAGGCTTTGATTATCCTGCTGGCAGGRGAGGTCAGCACAACCTGCTGATGGTGGGAGCCAGTGTCTCTGTGTGGGAGACCTGGTCCTAGGCCATGGCTTTATGTGAAGATATGGGTGCAGGGTGGGATGGGGAGGGAGGAGAGCCAGGACAGCCAGAGCTGCCAGCTCCCGCTGGACTTACGCTTCTTCATCTGGGAAAGCAGAGGTGCTGGCTGGAGGAGACTTGGGAGACGCTTCCTCCTCTGGGCTGGCCTCGCTAAGAACAGCGTTCGCAGGTGGCGTGAACATGCCAGAGACGTTGAAATCGATCTCTAGATGGAGAGAAAGGATGGAAGACCTGAGGAAACGGTACTAGAAGTGAAGCTATGTCAGAAGCTGCACAGGACTCATCGCCAGACATGGATCAGAGACGGCTGTGGGTGGGTAGAACCCAGCCATGCAGCAATCTCCAGAGCCCACCTGCCTTCCTGCACCAATCCACCCTATCCCCTTCTCTCCTCTTGACTGGGACCTCAGCTTCTGCCTGAGGTAGGAAAGAGAGTCTGACCTTGGGTATCAGCCTCTCTTGGGGATAGCAAATGCACTTGTCCTTTCCTCTGCCTGCATAGGACACTTTGTCCAGGGCAATAGACCCATGTGTAGACTAGGGGCAGCAGCACCACCTAATGGGACTGATGGTTTTTCTGCAGAGTGATGTTGCTTCCAGAGCCCTCTTCCATGAGTCCTCTGGTGTCTGAGGGCATGAGCAGGGAGGATGGGTGGCAGAGAGCTGCTTTGCCTTTATACAGAGCTTGAAGCAGGGTTAGAGTCTGCAGCTTGGCACAAACCACAAGCTTGTGGCTTATGTGTGAGACGTGTGCTCAGCAGATCAATGTGAGGGCACCTCRAAGAGACACAAGCTCAGCTGAGCTGGAAACTTTGGGCCAAGCTCAAAAGGTCAGGTCTCTCAGGGGCAAAATCATGTTCCCTTCCCACTGAGCCCTTGATTCACAGTCTCCCTGAGCAAAGCAAGGCAGATTTCTAGCTCCTTTTGTCAGCTGCCCTGCTGCAAACACGGGCTGCAGCTAGGCAGTGTTCCTGTGCCCTGCTGGAAACCCCTTCCGCAGCAGCCGCAGGAGAGCGGGACAGAGCTAACAGCACGGGATGCCCTTTGGCTATCGCGCTGCTCTTTGCAACTGCAGCGGGACCCAGTGCTCCCTCCGTTGCTGCTCCCTGAAGAAGGAAGGCCAGGGAGAAACGGTGGCCCTACCTCCAGGGAAGAGGGTGTCCGCGTTTTGGATGAGGGCTTCCACAATGCCCACCACCTGGATGGAGGAGACCGAGGCCAAGTCCAGCTGCATGGGATCTCTGAGAGAGAGAGGCAGGGGAGGCATCAGRGAAGGACTTAAAGAGAATCACCCCATCTTATGTTAATTCCTGTCTGGGCAGAGGCCTGAAGGGAAGACAGCCAAGGGGAATTAGGACCTGTTCTCTATCCTGCAATCCTGGCTTCCAAGCCAGTTTGAGGTCTTTTATGTCATGAGTGGTCAAGGGCTCAGCCTTTTACTCTGTGCACCTCGGTGGGAGGTTAGCAGGCAGGCAGGAGCCCAAGGGCCAGGTGTGGATGAGGGGGTGCAGAGGGTTGTGTGGGAGATGCCAGGCCTGCTGTGGCTCTGAAGGAGACCACAGAGTGCAGGAGAGCTGAGAGGCTAYGGGGACATCAGAGGGAGACACTTGGAGGCCTGGATGCAGGATGACGGGKGTGAATATGGGGCTGCAGGGAGGGCACGTCTGCTGCTTAAAGGAGGAAGGCTTAAAGGAAGGCTTAAAGCTTGGGCAGGGGATGTGGTGCTCCACTGTGGTAGTGGATGAGGGACCGGACATCAGAATGGAAGAGGTGCAGGTGGCCTTCAGGATTAGCAGGAAAAAAAAAAGAAAAAAAGAAACAAAAAATCCCTTTTCCAAAGCAGAGGAGCTGCTTCCCACCCCGCTGAGCGGACACAGCCTTACCCTGAGCTTTGCTGCGCCCAGAGCAGGTTGGGGCCCAGCACGATGGCAATGTTGCTGGGGGTCATCTTATTGACCTCCTGGTGTTCGGCCAGCTTGGCTAAAAACTTGATGAGGTACCTGTGGGKTAAAAAGAGGGTGGGAGGACAGTAAGTATGGCTCAAGGAATGAGCCAGGCATACCCCTGGTGACTGCATGGGGTAAAATAACCCCATCCCTGACAAACACCTTAAATTATTGTAGTTCTCCAGGGGCAGGCGGCTGCAGGTGTCTCGGAGACTCTGTACTTGGCCATCGGAGTCCTTGAAGCTGTGAGAGACAAGAGGGAGAAGAGAGCTGGGTCCGCTCCGTGCAGCAGGGATGGGCACAGGGCMTGAGGTCTGAGAAAGGCTGACGCTGGCCACCCTGTGTGGTGACAGCCCTAGGACAGCGGATGTCCTGTGGGGAGAAGGCCCAAATGCTGCTACATTTATTGGGTCCTGTGGGCCAGGCATCCATAGAGGACAAAACACTACCCCAAAATGCCCAAAGGGATTTACTGTGRCATGAATGTAGCTTGTGGATGAGCCCTGGAGGAAGCGCAGCCCTTCTGTGAGTAGTAATCCTCTTTCATCAGGACTACATGGATTGGCACTGACCCGATCCCCTTGGAAAAATGCTCCAGAGGAGCTGGGTTTTTATCCTTCCTCGGAAAAAATGAGGCTGAGCAGCCCTGTCTCGCGTGCCGGGAAAGGCCAGGCGGGTGGGCAGCCTTTTTCACCCCATCAGGCATCTCCACCTCTCCGCTCTGACCTACCCAGCCACTTTGACCCATTCGTCGTAGAGCTCGAAGGTCATCAGGGGCTGGGGCAGCTCCCGCAGGTAGGATTTCAGTGCTCCTGCAGGAGAGGGGCAGTGAGGCAGGGCTGCGGGCCGGCCCGCGGGCGCCCGTGCGGCGGCGCTCACCAGCCACCGCGTGCGGGTCCGTGTAAAACTCCTCCAGGGCGTTGGAGCCACTGGCCAAGCTGCTCTTCAGCTTCCTCAGCACCGAGGCGCCCGCCGCCAGCCGGAAGAGTCCCTGGGGAGAGGTGACGAGTGAATGGGTGCCGGGGCTGGCCCTGGTCRGGCTTTGCTGGGGAGGGGAGGAGGGTGTGGGGCAGGCAGGTGGGTCACAGGGGATGCCGACCTCCTCCCTCATGCCCGAGGCCAGCAGCATCATGACACAGGCCTCGATGGGCAGCGCAATCTCCCGGCCCAGGCTCTCGAGGTGCGTCCCCAGGGACACGCCGTAGTACCCGGCGACTGGTGCCTCTGCGGTGAAGGAGGGCTCTGGAAGAGAGCGGGACAGGTAAGCAGGGCTGGGCAGAGCTTTGTCCCAATGGGATCCAATGGGTGTTGGAGCAGCCATGTCTTGTTCCGAGTTGGGTCTTGCTAGGCAAGGGCAGGGGTACGGGGGACAGGAACCCCGACAGGAATCTCTCTTCCCATCCAGGGTAGGAGGCAGCAACAGGCAGAGAGGGAACATCTGCCTTTCCCAGCCTGCTCCCACRCTCCCGTGCTCTGCAGAAGGGGATGTCGCCCACAGCAGGGCTTCACGGAGGGCGAGGTGGTACCTGTCTGGCTGTGAGATTCCTTCAGCTCTGCCAGCACCGAGTCCAGGGATCCCAGGGACTGCCGGTGGTACTGGGCTTGGATTTCCATCAGCTGCCGGACAGAGGACGCAGCCCTTAGCTCAGCACTGGGCCCTCTCAGAGAGACCCTCTCCCCACATACTGCACCCACATGGAGAAGGGTAAGAGAAACAGAGATCCTGGAGGAATAAAAATGGGAGCTGTGGGCCCTTCCCTCCGRGGCCTGTGGACTGTGTCAGCACTGAGGGGTAGAGAGTGAAGCGGAGAGCAGGGCTAGCGGGGCCAAGCTGCAGCGYGTGGGGCCAAAGCCCTACCCGGGGCTGCTGTGGGTGGGCAAGGACTCTCCCCAGCCCGGGCTGGAGGACTCAGTGTGGACAGGGGCAAGGCTGCCTCTGATTTAGGCCCTGCATAAACCCTAGGAGACGCTCACRTGCTAAAGAGGGGTGTGAAAACAGGAGGGCAGAACTTACTCTGATGAAGTAGCTGGCATAGCTGTCCTCTTTGGTGGAGAAGTGGTAGAGGTCGGCCATGTACTCGTCCTGGAGAAGGAGAGAAAGCAAATGGCAACTTTCCACTTTATCCTTGGCTTCTTGAGGAAGAGGGTCTGATATCATTAAGCCCCCTCAAACTGTGCCTCTTGTTTGTGCCATGGACTACCCAGACAGCACTATCTCCTAGAAAGGGGCTCCTGGTGTTCTTGGGAGGCAACTCTCTGGCTATGGGGCAGAGTGAGAGGGTGGCAGGCTGGGATCCTGTTGGGTTCCTCTTTGCCGCTATTCCTTACATTTGGTTAACAGCAGTGATGGGCCCCATGATCAGGCACTGCACAAGAGGCTGCTATGGCCTTTTGGCCATAAAAAAGCACAGGTCTTTTTGGAGAAATGGAGAAGAGGTGCTGAGAGCTGATGTGACTCAGGCCCCTGTGACCCAGCACAGACCCCAGCTCAGCTGAGTCGCAGTCTGGGGAATCCCATAAGCTCCCTGCTCCAACTCCYGGAGCCCCCTCTCAGCAGCAAGCTCCTGGGCTTGGGGCATCTCCCAGCTTCTGCTCCTCAAGGGACCCTTTTGCAGCTGGACTGGCTGTTTTGTTCTGTTGCTGCCCATCTTGGTGTGGGGCTTGSCTTGGATGGGGCTGCTAGAGCTGAACAGGACTCCAGCCCTAGAGCTGCCCCACCATGCTGGCTTTTCTCACCTTGCACTGCTCCACCTTCCTCTTCACCTCCTCCTCCTCTTCCTTCAAGTTCTCCAGTTTGTTGGCAGCAGCAGATGCCCCAGGACCAGCGCCGGCGCTTGTGCTGTTACTGGAACTCTTGGCAGCTTGGTTCAGCCTCTCAGATGGGAAAGGAGAAAAGGACCACGCTGCAGCCTGGGACACCCATGAGCAATCAGCCCCGGKGACTGCAGCTGCCCAGGTGGCGAGGGGCCAGTTTGCTGMCTCCRCTGCTGTTCTCTGGTGCGCGGTGAGGCTGGCAGTGCCGGCCAGGTCCGGAGGCACCATGGAGAAGGGCCGGCTGGGATCTTACATTACATGCAGCAAGGGGCGAGCTAACCAATGTCTCTAGAGGCCCTGAGAAACTCGCTCCCGGCTTCCCTGTGCGGATGCGTGCACGCATCTTCCTGCAGCCCTCGGGCCGGCAGGATGGGCTGCGGCCGGCGCGCGCCGTGCTCTGCCATGGCGTGCCCCTTGGCCACCCAGGCCCTGTACCTGCTTTTGATGGTGTTCCAGTCCGAGATCAACTTCTGCAGYGTCTTCTTGCGCTTCAGGATGATGGGAAGCTCCTCCTGGGAGAGAGGGGCCACAGAGGGAGTCACAGGGCCTGCCCTGSCCCGGGCATGTGGGAAAGCTCGGGGAATGGCGGAGGAGTGCGGGCAGGGGAAGGCAGGAGAAGGAGAGCGGGGGAATCCGCATGGCCAGGGCTACCTCGCTGAGCTTGTTCAGCGGCTGCAGGACGTCGTGCTCCAGGGCGATCTCRAACTCAGCCAGGATCTTGGCCAGCGTGCTCTGTATGCAGCAGCCCATCTCCAGGGCTCTCCTGCACGGGGAGAGGAAATGACTGCAGGCCAAAGACCCCTTCTTGGGGGCAAAAAGCAGGGACAGTCCCTGGCCCCTTCTGCACTTGAAGACCAAAGGCAGTGGTTGTCACCTCTTCTGCTCTGGTGTTTGGTGAGGGGCCCTGCTGTGCTCTGAGGAGGGAGTTTGATAGCTCAGCTTGGATACAGGGGCATCTGCCAGGATTTGGCACCTTTCAAGGTCACYCCAGCCCCTTCCCGCACCAGCTCTTACCCAAGGCTGGACTCTGTGTCTAGCTCCTTGAAACTCTCAGCCATTGCTGTGGACAGAGCCATCAAGGGCAGCTTCTTCTGYAACAGAGACAACAGTTTTGGAAAGGAGATGATGAGCTGATGTTTGGCAGCTYCCTGTCCCCAAGGCTACTCCACCACCCTGGGGACAAGGGCTGGCCAGCTGCCAAGCCCTGAGCAGCAGCCCCACATCTTCCCCCTGCCCACCCAACCCACCGGCCTTGTGAGCTGAGGAAGGACCATGTTCATCCTTCCCATGTGTGCCTYCAGACAAAGCCAGGATCCAATTAGTCTAACAAGGCACCAAGACTCCATAACTGGTTAGAAATCCTCCTGCCTTCTCTAACACAGCCTGCTGTGGAAGGCTGTGGCACTGATGGAGACCTCCTCCAAGCCCAGTTCCGCCACAGTTTTAAATGTGCAGAACAGTTTCCTAAACAAGACTGAGTAACCACACTAGGGTTCATTAGGCCAGCGAGGAGATGGGCCCAGAAAATCACGGGGTACCTAGGGAGAATGAAKAAGGATTGACTGTTGGCAGTTGCTTTCCAGACAGGAGCTGGAAATTGCATCAGTTAGATGGAAATAGGGTGGCAAGTTCAGCTCAGAGAAGAGGAAGCAGTTGTGTGCACTGTGTCCAACTGCACTGTGGGGCTTCTCACAGCAGGACATTGGGGATGAAAAGGCTTCATGGGGATCAAAAAGTGACACGGACAAAATAGGGTTTCTGTAGGGTTATTAAAAACAACACCACAGTCTGACCCAGCGAGCATCCTGACCTCAAACCACTGGTGACTGCACAAGTGCCCAGGGGACACTTGCTCTGCAATGGCTGTTTGCTGGTGGTCACTGCTGGAGGCAGGACCCAAGCCAGGTGCCCCTTTGGGCTCCACTGCACCAACCACCCTGCGGAACCAAGGCTGGAGGTGGGTGCACAGCGGCCCCTTTGCTGATGAGCGGGGTGAACGTGGGGAGCAGTGTGGTGGCCAGGGCTGCACTCACCACTCGCTTGTCCATCTCCGAGCCGCACTGCCCCTGCAGACAGGCCTGGAGCCTCTTGGACACGCTGTGAGCCGCCCGCTTGGCTGGCTCGATCCTCTGCTCGATCTGCAGGTGGAAGGGTGGGATGCAGCAGCCCTGTTGCCGAGGCCTTGGGTAGCCTTGCCCAGGGACAGCTGCCCACGGGTAGCTCTCACCCGGAGCAGCACCTTCTCCCCGCATGAGCGAAGGTCCCCTCCACCTTCGGTGTCACTCAAGGGGACAAAACCCTGCAGGCCTCTTTGGCCTCCCTGCCGTGCCGAGCCCCAGGACAGCGCGACCGCCTCCGGCAGCATCAGCCGAGCGGCCGGCGCGGGAGCAAACCCCGCAGCGCCGCGCCAGGGCGTGGGGACTCTCTCCCCAAGCCAAGCTCAGCTCAGACCGCACTGCCTCCGGGCCCAGGGGCTGAAGCAGCACAGCATCCCACCAGGGCCCGGCACATCCTGCACCTGCGGTAAACGCGAGCGTGGCTCCCGGCCGAGGCCGCGGCTCCCGGCTGAGGCCGCCGCTGTCGCAGGCTGGAGTCAGGCTGCAGGGCCTGACTGCATAGGCAGCTGGGGAAGCCCCCTTCTGTGGCACCAGCCTGTTGTTTCCTTCACGTGGTCGTGATGTGACTTGGTGTGAGGGTGCTGCAGCAAACTCTGCATTCCTGTGGCTGGGGACATGTTGTAACATCTCTCGAGCCCGGCTCGACTGCAAACGAAAGCTGCTGTGACAGGAGCAGCTCAGCACAGCGAAGAGCAAGGCAAAGCCGGGACAGAGTGCCTGTCTGAACCTCTCGCTACGGTCCTGGCCTTGCCCTCCGGCGCGCAGGGAGATCCTGGCACTGCGACTTGGACATGCCGGCTGGGCAGATCGCGGGTGGGAACAGGACACGTCCTCCCACGTAAGCACAAGCAGGCACATGCCYGGCAGCCAAGCCCACGCCTCACCTGCAGCAAGTCTTCTGTCAGGAGCTCCGTTGCTTCTTGGGATCTGTCGAGGAAGAAGGAGCCATTAGCAGATGGGATACCCTCAACCTGGCTTGCTTGGGAAGGCAGGTCCTTATTCRCTTCACCTTTTTTTGTTCATGGCTCCAGGGAGCAGAAGACACCGGTTATGACCTGGACCACCAAGCGCAAGGCTACAGGCACAGTGAGCCCGTGAGAGGAGAACATCAGGATCAGGGAAAAGCAGCCAACCTTACTGGCCAGCAGAATTCCCATCCCCTAGAAAGATGAACGTAACTGGAGCGGGATGCCCAGACAGGGCAGCAACAGCACCTGCAGCTCGCAGCTCCCCAAGGCGAGGGTATAATTTCAGATAGGAATCCTAAATCAGAGCACCCAGCTCACCATGTCTTGATATGGCCTGATTTTTGGAGAGAAAGTCCTTGATRGGGTACTGCTGTGATGGGAATTTTGCTGCTGAAGCTTTCTAGCTGCAAACACCTCTTCCTGGAGGGAGAATTCAAAGGAGCCTCTGCCAGGGCCTTACACGCATCTTTACCAGGGGGTTTCCAGGGCCAGAGTGGCTGGAAGCTACTGGGGCACCAGGGCAGGAGCAAGCGACACCAGGTAACTCTGTGGTCAGCAGGAAGCTCAGATGAGCACCAGCCCCCAGCAATGACTAAATGTAACCGCCTTACTGTTTGGTTTTGCAAGAAGTATGAGGTGCAGATCATGCAAAGGCATCCAGGAAGCTTCTGGTTTGCAGAAAATCTTGATGAAAAACACACCAAACTTTCGTGACTCTTTGTGAAAGAGAAACCTGGCTTTTCAGGCCACGCTCACTACAAGTCCCTGGGACCTGCATTTGCATTCCCACTACCTCTTCCCTGTCCCACACAAGGGCTGCCCCCCTGCCTGGCCAGTTCATGTTTCTCCCTTCTCAGTGCGCGCGAGCAGAAAGGGGCCTGGTCTGCAGAGCCGCAGGAAACGGGGGAGGCTGCCTGGAGGCAGGCAAAGTCACATGAGGCTGCAGCCCGCAGAGCAGGCGCCTTGCAGCGGGCCGAGCTCCTGCCCATGGACCACACGGGCCAGCGGAGGCTTTCTGCCCGGCAGCCCTAACCACAGGGAAGCACACGCAGTGCGGCCGAGCGCCTCGGCGGCCCGCGAGAGCGGAGACAAAACCGGCCTGGCGGGAGGGGAGAGGGGAAAGGGAGACCTGTTCCGCTCTGGGAAACACAATGAGGGCAAGAGGTGGCCGTGCTCTGGGAATTGCTTCTYGGTGGCACAGCTGCCGGCCTGACTGCAGGACCCTGGCAGCCTGAGGGACAASGCTAAGTCCCCTTGGGCCTCTCAGCAGTGGGGAACCTGCGTKGGTACAGGTGGAGGTGGCTCTAGGAAGGAGGGAGTGAGGGGGCTGGGAAGGGAAGGCCCAACCCTGTGTTGTCACTTCAGCTCTGGGTTTTGCAAGGGTAGACCTTGGGAAAGTTGGAGAGAGAAATAAGGAAGCAGAGGAGGTGGGACCAGGCTGCAGGATTTCACATGAAACTCTAAGTCCCCTGTGTCTTCTCCACAGACCACAGGACACAAGGCCCTGGGGTGACAGCTCCTCTCTGCAAAGGGCACCTGTTGGGTCAGAGGCTGCTGACACTGTGCTGGACATCGGGCTCCCAGGGGAGGTCCCAGCTCCTAATGCCCCCCTGTYACCACACAGCGAGAGTGCGTGGAGGAGAGGGAGTCCCTCCGATGGGGGACCCCTTCCCACCCAAGGGCCCCTCCGCTGCCTGCCGCCAGCCCCCCTGCTGTCAGAGCTGCAGGAGGGAGAGCTGGGCACCCCAGCCAGAGCGGAGCTTGGAGGGGCCCCTTCCTACATGGCTGCAACGCCCGTGGGACCCAGGAGAGGCAGCCGCGCGGCCTCGGCCCGCCTTAGCGAGCGCATCCTCGCCGGGTAGCCCTGCTGCTCACAGACACCTCTCGGTCTGCGCTAGAGACTGCCTAAGACCAGGGTCATTATCCCCTTCCCTGGCTCACCCGGGAGACCAGTCCAGCCTRGGCRCGARCGCCCCGGGAGCTGCCCCCTGCYTCCCCCCAGCCCGTTGGGCCCGGTCACAGAGAAGTCCTTACCGGCCCGTGAGGCTGGGATGGGACAGTTGCTGCCGCATCCGATGAAACTGCCTCTTCATCATCTTGAGAGACGGGAGGAACCCACAGGAGCTGCTCCGCTTGGCTCTACCCGCTCAGCGCTCCCAGATGTCGCTTGGCATTGGATGTCCACGGCCCCTTGACTCCCAGGGGCTGCTCTGCCCCTTGCTTTTTCCCYAGGCACCTCTCCCCCTTACTCCTTCCTTGTTCCCTTCTTTCTGTTTCCCGCCTTCTCTCCTCCCTCGTTTCTCCTCGGGGATGTTCTGCCGGGTTTCTCTTCCCCTCTGGCAAACTCCCTCTTATGCTCCCTCTCGTTTTTTCTTTTTTTTTTTTTCTGGGTTTCCTTCCTCCTCGAGCTTCTCCTCTGCACCCTCACTGCAGATCAGGTAAGAGCAGTTGAGGGCTCCTGCTCCGCTCTGTGTTCCTGTCACCACCCCACAAGTATAAATAACTTAAGCCCAGCCTTAAAGGGGAAATATTATTACAGCAAACACGTAACAAGGCAGGACAAGCACAAGCTGCTGCAGAGCCCAAGCGAAGGGCCCACGCTCTGTTTCTCAGTCTCTTTCTCATCCGGGGTGGGTTTTTCCTTTCCCTTGCCTTCCCCAGCATCAGCAGCGATGCAGCGCAGCCCGTGGCCGAGCTGACTGCCTGAGCAGCATTCATGGAGTCTCTAATATGCCTGCTAGCTCCTGCCCTGCCTTGTCACCCTAACTCTGCTAGTGCCCCTGGGGCACCTGCTCACCCTCACGGGTTCATCTCTGCCCTCTTCCCTGCAGGACAGATCCCCTGTCGCACTAAGCACAGGCCACAGCRCTCCGCGGGCCCCCGTGCAGCACGCCTGGGCCCCTTGCTCAGCGTGCTAAGCCATCCCCGTGGCTGCTTCTGTGTTCCCCACATTCCCCCCGTGCTGCTGCTGCTAAGGCCCGCCGGGCCCCGCGCATGCTTGTGGAAGAGGCCGTCGCTGTGCGCCCTGCGGAGGCCCCTTCCTCCCCGCTCCCGCCTCCTGCCGCAGCCCTCAGCGGCGGCGCCGCGCAGAGCGGCGCCTCCCGTGCGCGGGCACCGCCGGCCCCACGGTCCCGGGCCTGCTCGCTGCGGAGCTGAAGCCTCCCACGGCATCCRGGCTCAGCTTCCTTCTAAAGCTGGGGGTGGTGGGATGCTTAACCCACCCCTTCACTCCAGCTCCGGGACAGGAGCCTCCCCTTATCGCTGGCTCCCTGCAGCCAGGACTTCCCTTGCTCTGCACTGAGAGCAGAGGGAGGAGAGGGTCAGGCACCTCATGCAGCCGGCAAAGGAGGCAGCATCGGAGCCCAGGCGGGAAGTGGTCAGCCCGTAAACAGGAGCCAAACAGGAGAAGACAGAAGCGGAAGGGCCGCTCCACCTGCACCTGCTCCAGGGGCTGCCCTCCATGTCTTGGAGGGTGAAGTCTCAGGGAGCACGCRGCAGAGCCAGTGCTGGCCTGTCCCTTTTCAAGGTGGGACTGCCCCATCATCACCTTGCTCTAAAACTGGGGCAACGTGGAGTGACCCACCTCATACTCCATGGAAAAGCCCCTGTGGGGTTCCTGAAGGTCATCGCACTCACTGAAAGCAGACCACTGCTTTGAAGACCTGTTGCAGTGGGTCACCCAACCTTCCATACAGCTCWAACAACTCCCTGGACAGCACTGCAGGATGCAGCCGCCAAGCTGGGGTCTCTTTCCTCACACACAGTCTWGGCAATTCACAGGGGCTGCGGCCAGACCTGGCCCCCAGGCCTGAGCCTGCAGCAGGGGGAATGATGCTGCCCAGAGCAGACTCCCCTCTCCTTCCACCCCACAGCCCTTTGCAGGAAAGCTGCTCCAGGGAGCCACTCCAGGAGGCAGCTCTGGTGCCCAGGCAGTTCTCGACCCGGTCCTGGCACTGCTGCCTGCCCYGCAGTGGCCACGCAGGCTGTGCTGGAACCCATGGGGTCCTTCCTGGCCTGCCTGCCTCCTCCTGGCTTCGAGAACAAGCAGGCAGGAGCAGGCAGCTCCCAGCATGGAAGTGACTTGCTCTCAAACAGGAATTGAGAGCAACGGGGGGACTTCCACAATTCCCCCCGTCCCCTCCCACGAGGGGATGTCACATCCCTCCAGGGATGAAACAGAGGAGAGCAGTAGGAGGATTTAAGCTTAAGACACCCTTGTGCCTGGCACCTGACCCCTCTTGGGGTAGAAACAACTTCTCTGAAGGCTTGGAGGATGAATGGAAAATTCAGTCCCTGGGTCAAAATGCAGAGGGAAAAAGATCAGGAAAGAACTCTTTTATTTCCCATAAATACAGCAGATTATTCGCGCCGGGCGTTGTTTTAAATTTTTTTTTTCCATTTACAGAATTTGCACTGAAAATATATACAAGTCTGTTCAAGAACCAAACAAGATCTGCAAAGAAAAACCCATACAAAACCCTGAAAGAGACCAGAAAGGGAAGTAAGACACAGCAGAAGCCCAGCATAAAGACTTTGCTTCCTCCTCTCCTCTACTACACCACACACCCAGCTCCAAGACCTCTCACCTTCACTGCCCCCAAGCCAAGAACAAGCAGCACCCACTGACCTCCACCTCACACAGGCTCCTTCCACACCTAGCAGGCTGATTCATGGTGCACTCTGCTTATACCTCTAAAACCAGGCGCAGTGAAAACCAGCTTAGGAAAGGGAAGCAGCTCACGCGGTCACAAGTCTAATCAGGATGGGGATCRCTCCGGACATGCCACTGCCTGGTCTCCTCTGTGCCTGCAGATCCCTGCTCTTGTGTCACAGTGATCGAGTGCCTGGGATGAGCCCCCTGCCAATGCTGCCGGCCAAGGCACACCCGGCCTGGCTGTACAGCCCAGTATGGTTGTACTGCCCGGCCCGGCTGTAACCGCCTGGTGCGGCTGTACCGGCCCGGCGCGGCTCCGCAGCAAGGCCGCTGTCCAGTCTCTCCCCAATTCTAGCCTGTCCCTTTCCCCACTGCAAGAAGAAATCAAAGAGCTATAATTAAAAAGAAAAGCAACCAAAAAAAATAAACAAAAAAGCCACCTTCATAACTCCCCCCCAAAGCCAAACTGGGGAGGGAAGAGGGGAGTAGGATGATTTGCTGCTTCCTCTCCCTCTGTTGAGCAGGAGTCAGAGGCTGTGGGAAGACTTAAGCCCACAGAGAAGGCCCCTTTGAAACATGCCCCTTTCAGGGCTGGCACGCAGGACCAACTGGTATGGGTACAAGAGCAATCCCAGACAGTTGCTGGAGTAGCTAAAGCTTAAGGGAAAGGTGCGATTCCTCCCAGCTGGGTTTAGTGCCTGGAGCCAAGGAGCTACAGAGATGACGCAGACAGGAGCAAACTCTTTCCAGCACTGAACTCAACAGGTTCCCAACCCCAGAGCTCTCTCCCAGTCCAAGAGCCCTGTCTCCAGCTTGAGGAGGGGGATATGGGAAAACAACTCCCCCTTCCCAACCCAAGCACAGACAGTTAAAGACACTGACTCCAGCCCAGTCCCTGGTCAGCCTCATTTCATAGCTCTGGGAGAATCCCAGCAGATTAGTTCCCAGCTTCAAAGAGTGGGGGTATTGGGAGGGAACCCATTTGAGCTCTGAATTTGCTAACGAGAGAGAGCACCACAGAGCATGAAGTGGCTGAACGGTGAGGAAGGGTGGAGGCAACAGACAAGAACAAGGGTCTTCATTTCCTAGGCTTTGCTCCAGTCTGAGCCTGCTAAAGCTCCCCATCCCTGTTCCCCAACTGCACCTAAAGGAGGAAAGCAGGGATAGAAGAGAAGCTGAACGAACTGGGGAGGAAGGGAAGCCTTCAGAATAGCAGGGAAGGCAACTGTTCACCCACAGCAAGCTCTCGGCTCTGCTCCTAATCACACTGGATGAATGTCTCCCAGCTCTCCCCCTTCAGAGACGCTCCCTCTGGCTCCTGCCCAGCCACCTGGGGAACAGAGCATGAGCAGCCGACCCCCTCCCACCCTCCCCTTCCTCAGGGTGCTGAAGCCTCGCGGGGCCGGCTGCCCAGGGGCTCTGCAGAGCAGGGCCTGCAAGGGAAAGCTCTAGAGGTTCCCCCAGGACTCCGGTGGGGGGAACTGGTCCACGTCCCCCATCTCGTTGTAGGTTTGCTCTCCCATGGTGAAGGTCAGCTTGTATCGTAGCCTCACTTTCTCCTGGAGATRRGGGAGAAAAGCAATCAGGAACAGGRCTGGAAAGSCATGAGGCAGCGTCTAGAAAGCTGTGGTGAGCATAAGGAATAGGGATGGGGTCCCCTCAGTGGAAGGGCAGTTGGGTTTTGCCGAGGTAACAAGAGCAGCCAGCTCCTGCCCCAGGGATAGGACTGTTACCTTCTGTGGGTTAGCGAGCAGCAGAACTTGTGTGATGGCACTGGGGTGGATAATGGGGTTGAACGCTGGCAGCTCTGTGCCCGAGGGAGGCTGCAGCTTCACTTTCATCACCTAGGCAAAGAACAACACCCCACCTTTCTGAGAGGGGGACTTGGCCACCAAATATCCTGCTACCACCGGTATTTAGGAGTCTTCCACCCTCTAACCAGAGAGAGGGGTATTGGGCTGGTCCCTGTTAATCTGGGGGCAACACAGCTTGCTCTCAAACCCACATAGCCCTCTGCATCCACCCGACCTTTCCTACAGTGGGAGAATCCTGCGGCAGGCTAGTGCCCCGAGCCCCAGCAGCCCCCTTACCTTAGGGACAGCAGATTGAAAGACAATGTTGCGGATGGGCTGTGGGGCTGTGCTGAGCATGGAAATCACCACCACAAGCACATCGGGTCTCTCGGGCAGGGCATCTTTAGCAAAGTGGAAGAGGACACGGAAGCCGTGTTGATCATACACCGTCACAGGGAGGATGCTGCCTGTGGGAAAGGCAGGGACAGGCACCACTCAGCCAGGAGCGAAGTGGCCCTGYGGCAAACTCCTCATAATCCAAACTCCACACCAGGAACTACAAGTTGCCACTCTCTTCCAACTCTCCAAAATCCAGTAGGTTTTCTCATATTCCCCTCTTCCCTGTATGCACAGCTTGTTCCACCCTCTTCATACTCTCTGTAGTTCCTTCTTCCCCAATCTGCCTGGTCCCCTTCCAAACAGTCCATCCACCCCCTAAACTTGTCYCCCTCTTCCAGCCTACTCACTGGGTTTGATTGACTCCAGAGGCACAGTGATGCTGGCCAGCGAGATCTCCTGGGGCAGTGCAGTGGCAGGAGGCCGTGGTGGGATGGGGGCACCTCCTGTYGGCGCGGTGGCAGCTTTTGGAAGCGCTGCAGGGGCAGGCAGCTCTGAGGACAGGGGTAGTGTTGGATTGGGAGAAACGCTCTGGAGCACAGGAAGGGCACTGGGAGCATGGGCCGTCGTGCCAGAGCTGCTCTTGTTCTGTAAATCCCTCAGGGTGAGCCGTGGAGGTGGCTGCTGCTTCTCCCTGTAGGGAGAGAGAGCAAAGAATCCAACAGGGCACGGAAATAACTGCATCCAGCACCTCAGCAACAAGAGAGACAACCAGAGATGCAAGACTGCTCAGCTCCCGCTTACCACCGCACTTGCTGCGACTCTGGAGGCAGAGACTGCTGCAGCAGAGTCTTGCCCAGGAGGTCTAGGTCGTCCAGGCCACTGGAGGGAGGAGGAGGATTCGGGGAGGACGCGCCAGCGTCTGCTTTGACCGGAGGCGTTGCCGGGATAGGGGCGATGCCAAACTCGCTGCTATCCGACGACTGCAGAGAGAGCGCACACGAGAGGCCCCCAGGTAGAGTCACATCAGCACGGCCATCACAGCAGGAATACCTCCTTACCTGTTCCAGGTGTTGCTTCCACCACCCTCCCCACCTGCCTCCATGGCTCCCAGCACGTTACCTGGAAGCTGTTCCAGCCACTGCTGTCACCAGCCTGGGCAGGAGGTGGTGCCGGGTCATTCAGACCTACCAGGAGAAAAGCAATCATCAAGTCTTGGTATCAAGTTGGTAAGGGAATTAAAAAGGCAAACGTAACTGACATTCCTCTGCAAAGGCAGGACACAGAAGAATCAGGGCAGAATATCTGACATGTTCCCCACTTCTGGCTCTATCTCTGCAAGGGAAGGAGCAGGGAGGACAACGGTGCTCTTTCCCTTCACGCTCTAGTCACCACTGCAGYAGACCCAGATGGGAATACCACTCAGTTGTCAGTCTCCACTTGCAGTTGCRTGTAGAGGATGTCTAGGTCACACTGTTGCATCCAAAACATTCATCTAAGGGACACGGACCCACTGTCAGAAAAAAATGGATTCTAGAACCTTCTAGGATTGCCACCTTACAAGACTTCCATATGAGCTGTTGTTCATGCCTRGTGTCTGCTTCACACCAAAGAGTAAACACCAGGCGGTGGAGGTGGTCCACCCTTGTGATCCCATCTAGTGATGGCCATTGCACAACTCTCGATTTACCTGCCAGATCAGTTGTCTGAGAACAAAGCAGAGGGTAGATCACTGCAGGTTTTCCCTGATAAGTCAGGAAAACACCATGTGAAATGAAGCTCAGAATCAAATCAGGGATTTTCCTTCCTATCACACTAAGTGAGGATCTTCTCTTGGTGTTTCATGATTCATGCCTCTCAGAGCTTTTCAACATTCACGTTCCTCCATGAGGATAACGGTCTACCCAGACTCACACTCAATGCTTTTACTCTTGTCTTCTCACCTAAAGACATGAGTTCATCATCCAGCAAGGAGACAGAGGCAGCTGGGTCAGGCACAGGGACTGCTGAGCCACCTGAGAGGGTGGGCAAGGCTGGGTAGGAAGGGCCTGCTGCTGGGAGGTCTAGACCYGACAGATCCAGGAGGGCAGAGGTACTGCCTGCAAAAAAAAGGAACAGGTTAAGAGAAACTCTTGAGCCTCCTAGTGTGTCATGAGGCAGTTCCCATCTTTCCACCACCTGGAAAATGGAATCCCCTCCCCTGCTCTCCCTTTCAACTCCCTCTTTTCATGCATCAGTCACCTCCTCAAGCCATTTCCTCATCTCACCAGCATCACTTTGACCTTCTGCATGTTTCACCTTTCCACATCACAAAACTTTCTCTTATGCTGTAGAGAACTAGCAAGAGGGCCCCCGTGCTGCCCCATGTGCCAGGACGACTCACCCCGAAGGGGACCAGCCACAGTCTCCCCGTTGATCTCTTCTCCTCGCACCAGCTGCTTATAGAGATTGATCACCTGTGTCAGGTTGTCATTGGCTTGCAGGATCTCCGCTGAAATTGAAGAGGTGGGAAGTAAGTTTAAAAAGAGGCAAGAAATGAAGACAGACTTTAATCCCCCCAACCATTCTTCCTCGAGAGTAAGGCCAAAAAAAATCTAATAGCAAACCACTACAAATAGCATTTTTGCCACTACTGCTTCAAGAAACACGTGGGAAAAAGAAATACTCTTCCACAGGGAAGTGGAGGAAGTCTGTAACCCTGTGACTGGTGTCACAYGCCCCGCTCAGCAGCGAGCGCAGACTAACCAACCTCGACCAGCACAGCAGCTGCCCAGAAATGCCACGCTATGAGCAGCTGAGCGGGGATTCCCTGGGCCAAGATAATTGGAGAGGGGCCAAGTTTGCTTACCTAGTGCTTCATCATTGTCTTCTGTGTCACTTGCAAGTCGGAAGAGCATGGGCCTCATGCGTTCACAGCGCTGATACAGCTCCTGGCAAGAGGAGACAAGGGCACTGAGGTGGCAAGCTCAGATAGGGATGCAAAACAGGTAGGAAGGACTTGGGAGGGCAGGGTGAAAGACTGCACACCCTCCTCACAGTTAAGCCCAAGGATGCTGAGATAGCTTTTCCTCACCTTCATTAGGTCCTCATTGCTCTCTGTTGTCTCCCCCTTGCTGTAGCTAGTCACCATCTCTGTCAGCAGCTTCACATTATTGTTCACCTCCTCAATGGCGTTCACCCTTTTGGAGATCTTCTCCATGCGCTTCTGGTCCTGAAGAACAACCAAACTGGCAAGGAGGTCTTTACTCTTGTCCACAACTTGGGGAGACAGAAAGCTCAGCTGGCCTACACACCGATTCCCTGGACAAAGGCACAGCAACACTGGCCCCAAAGGAGCTCCCACCCAAGTGACAAAGTCCAGATCATCTCTAGTCCAGCACTGGCCACGTGGGGTGGGTCTGCTGCTGATCTAGTGCTGCAGCACGACTTGTGCCACACAAGCGCCCAGAGCCATTCCTCCTAGTAGCCAAGTGACAGCAGAATTTGCACAGAAACTCTCCGGCACCTACTGCAGTTTGGGGCAGAGGCTCCCCACGTGCCTGCATGAGGACAGAGACTCATTGCTCAAACCTCCTCCCACTGACTGCAAGCATCAGGGCCTACAGCACCCCCCTGCCCTACAACCACACTCCTCCCCAGCTGCACCTCCTGAACCATCTCCTTGATGAGCTTGTTGGCAGCCCGGAGGTCCTCGGGATGGGAGCTTTTCAGAAGACGAGCCAATATCTGCAAAAGAGAAGACACCTTTGGGCCCAAGCTGAGGCACGTGGCACCCAGAATCACTCTAGCAATACTAGAGCCAGTGAAATCCCCAGCATAGCCAAATCTAGCTGAATGATGGCATTAACCACTTAAAAACCTAGCTGGATCACTTCTGGGCTATCAAAGACCAGGCAGAAAAGAGAGCACAATTGCTCTTCTTCCCCCTGCTGTCGTAATACGGACTTGAAAATCCCCTGCATTGAAAACCTGGCCCTGTCTGATGGTTATCCTCTGCAGAGACCCAGGAACAGCAGTGTCAGTACTGAGAAACAGAAAAGCTGGTTTAACACAGGGAATTGCCACAGGACTGTAGTGGGCTCCCATTCACACCGCTTTACACAGCTCTTTTGCAGCTCTAACTGGTAAAGAGGGAGAGCTCCAACTTCCCTCACACACCTTAGTCAGTGACCAGTTCCACAGGCCCCCTACAAATCCTCCTTGTCCATTCTCCATGACAGCTCTTTGGGGAAAAGGGCCCGCAGAGGCAAAAAAAATTACCTCATACAACAAAGGTGGATCACATCTCATTTCAGAAGTCAGAGGAGCCCCAAATTTTCTTAAAAAATTCACCATTAATAAAGCAGAGATGTTTAGCTGAACAGTGACCCCAAGAAAGGCAAKACAGGACGGGTACAAGAGAGCATAAGCAGTTGAGCAATAAGTGGATTGCAGCTGTGGAGAAGAATTAACAGTAACAAGAGGGGGAGCTGGGCTCCATTTGGCCCACGTAGCCAGATAACTGGGCTCGCTAGAGACRGCAAAGCAGCAGCCTCCCACATCCTGCTGGGCTCAGGTCAGCACTTCACCCTTTGTACCAGCCCGCAGCTGAGAGCTCCAGAGGTCAAATGGATCTATGTGCCCCAGCTCYGGCTATTTCCTTAGGCCTGACTTAAGCACAGACCCTCAGCATTCCTCTGATCTGCTTCCTGAAGCGTGGCGCAAGGAGTAGGAGACCTCTAGGGAGACAGGACACCCTGGAGGTAGGAAAATGCTGACCTCCGGCCCTCTGCCTGAACACAGCCCTTACCTTGGATTTCTCTTCGTCATCAAAGATGATGTTCTTGGGCCGAGGAGGAGGTGGTGGGAAAGGAGCATCATCAGGCAGTTTTGGGTCACATTTCACAATTCCTGCAGTAGAGATCCACAGAGAGRTCAGGAAACTTCACACACTGGGGGATGAAACAGCCACCTAGGACATTTCTTCCCCAGTGGCTCTAACTCAGCTGGGACTGAGGGGGTTTGGGTCTGTTCCTGCCATCCATTATCCTGGACTGTGTTTCTACATCATTTCTTTTCCCTTGATGAGAACCTTCTTCTGAAAGATACAAAGTTACTGCCTATAAGAGCCTAAGTCCATGACAGCACTCCTAATCCTTCAGTCCCAACTACTCCCAGTGTCCCTCTCCAGTAGGGAGCAGGCAGATACCCTCCCACGAAGCAATTCAGACCACAAGCAATAACCCCCGAGCAGCTAAGATCCTCAGGGCACCCATTTCTTTTCCTGGGGCAGAGCTATGGGTGTGGTGGGTCTGAGTGCAGGAATAGGGGGAAAAGAAAAAGGAAAAAAAGAGGCAGTCCATCGCCTCTCACCTTGTTTCTTCAGCATCTGGTAGGCTTCTGAGATCTTCACTTCGTGAGGCAGCCCTAATGTCCAGCTGTACATGAGCTCCAAGATCTTTGACTTGACTTTCTCGGGTGTTCGGCTACCAAGATACTAGAAGAAAAAGAGAAGAGGTGGCTTGGAGCTGATCTGAGCTGTTGCAAACCTGGCACATTCACACCCTCCCCCAGGAGAAGTGAGACAGTTCCCAACGGCACCAGGAAAGAGGAAGCAAGCAGGAAAGCCCACGAGCCTTGCAACAGACCCCTGCCACACTTGCTTTCCAGCGCAGGAAACACAGCAAGTGAGAGAGATGCTGGGCCAGCAGCCCTCAGCAACACCCAGGGATGAGTGAGAAAGCTCTGGGGGGGTCTTTGTCACCTTGCAAAGTTCGGGGCACTGCCAACGGGAGGCGTTTGCAAGGCTGCCCTTTAGGGCTGAGCAGACAGCAGGGCTGGGAGGGGAAGGGCTGGGGGCAACAGGCCTTGGGGCCCAGGATGTTTTCTCAGCTGCACTCTCTGCCACAGAGTTCCTGACACCCTTTGTGGCYGCACAGACCCCAGACAACAGCTCCCAGCAGCGAGGTGTTTGAATGCTGCACTTCCCTCTTGACACACAAACATCCTTTGCCCTTGTCCTATGGCTCTGCTGTGCACTGGTGGAAGAAASAGTGAATATCCCACCAGGCCCCTGTGGCCTAAGGTGCACAGACATCCCCTAGGGCACCTGGCAAGGGGACGCTAGGACGTTACTGTTCCTGGCCATTCATGGCAGAAGCTGTGATTGACAGACTGAGGTTTTCCACACTCTTATTTGGCCCATGTTCCCTTAACTCTGTAGCCGCTGGTGGCAAGAGCTACCTGGCCTGACCGAAAAGAGCAGCATGTCCAGCTTGTTCTGGTGTGGCAACAGCCAACAGCGGAGCAGGKAGTGACTTTCAGTGCTTCATATGGATGCTCTCCAGAGCATCGCTGTCCATGCCTGGATTTGCCCTCTTGGAGCGCCCCAGCCAGGCTGGGGCATCCTGAAGACAGGCAGCCATGGTGCCAGGCCTGTAAAAGGCTCCCCAGCACAGGCAGCACAGATAGGTGACCTCAGGCACACAGTGAGCTCAGGAGCCTCACAGGCACTAGCTGGGGCTTCCTGGACGAAGAATCAGCCTGGAGCAGAGAGGCAGAAGCTCACCTTCTCACTGGAAGATTCAGCAGCGAGTAAGGACTACATCTCTGCCCAGTATTGCCCTGTCCTCCCCACATCCCAGTGGATACACAGCCCTTCTGCCCGGCCACTTCTTGCCCGAGCCCTCCTGCCGCCGCCTCCACTCTCCTCCAGCACAAGCCCCCGGGACGCACCTTGGGCGACACCACCTTGATGAGCTCGTTGAGGAAGCGGAACTTGCCCACCTCGTCGTGGAAGCGCTTCCCACAGCTCTTCATGCAGGACTCCAGCACCTGCAGAGAGCACCACGTGAGCCCAGCAGCACTGGGAGACGGCCTTTCCCGGCTGCCCCCTTCCCAGGGGCAGGAGCCAGGGGTTATCCTCACTGCAGCCAAGAGGGGCACCCCATTCCCCTCCTGGGGGGCCAGTCTCCCCCCCACAGTAGCAGGGAAGGTTTCCCCTTCGGGACCAGTCTCTGCAGAGGCCGCCCGGCAGCGCAGGGAAGGCGATACCCTCCGGGCGCAGGGCTGCGATGCAGGACGAGAGCTCAAGCACTCAGGTTTCACAGCACAAATCCAGAACGCAGCCAAGGGAATGAAAAGCTGCCCACTGACTTCAACTGGCTCTGGACCACAGTGTTCAGCAGGTCATGATCCCAGAACTGGGAACTTTCCAGGCCGCCACCCACACCTCCCCAGTCCCAGCACCCAAGAGCCCAGTTACACCTGGACTTGCTCACAGGAAGACAGGCACTCAGGAGCTGAGAGCTTCCCTTGCTCCTCAAGTCAGCGTGAAGCAACTCTGCACCCTGGGCCCCCATCTAGTCCTACAGCCTGCAGATGCCCTTACCGTGAGGGCCTGGATAGCTTCCCATTCCTGCGGAGACTGGATCTTGTGGGCAAGAAGTCGGGTGGCGAGCGGAGGACTGGACGGAGCGGGGGGAAACAAATGCCAGCTGGTTAGTGATGGGCAGGCTGGTACCTGCGCTTCCCTCTCGGTACCCCACGGTGAGAAGCATGTCGTGAGCTTAAGATACTGATAAGGCCCCCAGGTTGCTTTGAAAGCTCAGGAGAACTTACTTTATTATACTAGGGCAGGTTTATCTGAGGTAAAGCACAGCTATATCACAGCTGCTGAAAGGCAAAATAAAAAAAAAAAACAGAAAAAAAAAAAAGGAAATAAAAGGAAATTATCTGTGACGCTCTGGGGAGTCTCTAGAGCAGGGGGGACCCCACGTGGGGAACACGGTCACGGCACCGAGGGAAAGGCGGGACCTCCAGCCCGAGGAGCTGCCCTGTGCCCCGGCCCAGCCTCCCGCTGCAGACCCCGCTGCTGCTCCCGCGGGACCGCGGCCCCYCGGCTCCGCTCCCGGGCGCGGCAAGGCGCCCGCTTACCCGTCCAGCTCCTTGTTGAGCTGCTCGCAGAACGCGCCGATGCCGGCCCAGTCCAGCTCCCTGTTGAGCGGGTTCGTGGCCCGGTCTGCAGGGAGGAGAAGGGGGAGGTGAGCGGCGCGGCGGCGGGGCCGGCGGCGGGCGGCGGCCGCGGCACTCACTGATCCGCGTCTCCAGCGTCTCGGCCTCCATGTCGGGCGGCCCGGGCGCCGCTCAGCGGGGCAGCCCCGCGCCGCCGCCGCCGCCTCGCCCGCCCGGCCCCTCCCGCCCGCCGCAGGCCCCGCCGC